CCTCTTTTGCAGCAAAGAGCTTTGCTTTTCTCCATTCTGCTGGTCTGTCCATATTCATCCTTCACAAGGCTTTTCAGGTGCATTCCTTTGAAACCAGCAAAGATTTAGTACAAATAACCACATTTTCCATTCCTAACAACACCTTCTGGGGAAAGAAGGGCTGAACTTATTTTTGCTGCTGCTTCTGCTTGGATTGGCTTTCCAAAGCAGACTCAGGTCACTGGAGTTTCCCAGCAGAGCTACTGCAGTATTTAGGTCCCAAGCTGTAACCCTCTAATGAGCACTCAATATGCATTTAGGACCCTTCCTTCCATTTCCTGTTTTCTGCAAGAGTTTTGGGTACCTTGAAGGTGAAAACCTTGTGAGTTCATAGCTCTTACTGAGAAGAAATGCAAAGCATTGAGTAGGACTAGCTGAGTTTATAATTTCCCTCTTTGTCTTTATCATTTCTTTTCCTGAGCCCTGTTTTCACTGTGGTCAAAACAAAACCTTGAACCAGTTTGTTTTTTTCTTAAAAGCAGAAACTTGCTGGCCTTGCAGACCCACATTTACCTTGCACACTCAACTTTTCCAGTATTTGCCCAGCAGTAACAAAAGACAGGAGCAAAAGAAGGAAGAGCTGCAGGAATCATTCCCAGGGCTGGGGTGGAAATTGTGGTGTCAGACATTCTCCAGGGCTTGGTTACATCCCCCCAGGACAGTGCAGTTGTGTGTGTTCAAATCCCTGTGATTACTCCCTAGGATTTTATAACATTCCCACATTGCAGCATTTACACATACAGGGAGACTGTGAATATCTCTCGCATTTGGAGTCACACACACTCCAAAAAGTACAAATGCACATTACATGGAGAATTGTAACACCCGATTTTTTAAAATTTTTTTTTTTTTTTGCTGTTGCAAAAGGAGTGAAGTCATATTTGGCAAAGATATTCAATGGTTATATGCAATTGCAGCCACTGAAAATGTAAAGGGTTTTTGTGCATTTTTCAGGAGATATTTAAAAATGCTTTGGAGAAGGACTTTGGACAAGGGATGGAGTGACAGGACAAGAGAGAATGGCTTCCCACTGCCAGAGGGCAGGGATGGGTGGGATACTGGGAGGGAATTGTTCCCTGTGAGGGTGGCAGGCCCTGGCACAGGGTGCCCAGAGCAGCTGTGGCTGCCCCTGGAACCCTGGCAGTGCCCAAGGCCAGGCTGGACAGAGCTTGGAGCAGCCTGGGACAGGGGGAGGTGCCCCTGCCATGGCAGAGGATGGATTGAGAGGGTTTTTAAGGTCCCTTCCAACCCAGACCATTCTGTGATTCTTTGTCTCCACTCCATCCTCCCACTAATGGTGCTTCACTCAGCAAAACCAGGTGGGATTAAATCTGAAATTTGCAGTCAAAATCTGAACTGGGGAATTCTGGTGTTTGTAGAGCACAGACCATCCTGCTCTCACTGCCTCCCAAGCTCCCTCAGCTTGAAATTTCCAATCCCTGCCACATTCTGGGGCAGGCCAGACACAAGTGCAGCTAACATGAAGTGGCACAGTGCATCGTCTACTGGTCAGGAGTAGGAGGAGTCGATTTGTGACTAATAAAGAAAATTCATTACCCAGCCTGAATGAGTCAGAAGGAAATGAAGGCTGCTGTAAAGAAGGAGGATGGACTCATGCACTCTGTTATTTCGGGCTTGCTTGGTTGCAAGGTCTGTGTGTGCAGCATCTCCATCTGCCCAGCCTTGGCCCGTGTCCTGTGGCACCATTTCAGCTCAGACACTGCTGCTGCTCCTCAGGGGGACAGGCCTTTGGTGGAGGCAGCATTCCAGCACGATGTGTTCTCCCTTTGGCAAAGCAGCACCTTCTGAACATCCCCATCCCTCCCCAGGGCTGGGAGAAGGGGATATGGCAGTGGCCAAGCAGAGCCGGCACAGGCAGAGGACAGGGACAGGCAGGAAGGGCTGAATCCCCAGGGGCAGAGGGGTGCTGGGGCAAACGCCTGCTGCTCTCAGCTCCTGAGCAAAGCAGCAAGGCAGCCTCAGAGATGCACTCAGATGAGATTAGATCCTCAGTCTGAGGATTCAAGAGTTCAATCTGAGGAAATCAAGAGCTGCCACCATGCCTGGGTTTGGCTCCTGGTGAGGCTTTACCTCCCCAGCCACCTTGCCAGGCTCAGTGCAGAACGAGACCAGGCTGCCAAGCCACAGGGACAACACACCAGGGCAAGGTTTGGGGTGCCAGGAACCAGAGTAACCCTGGGATTTGTCTGGATCAGCTCCTCATGCTCCTTGCAGCCCTGCACTTTTCAGGGCAACCTCAGTGGGAGGCAGGAGGAGCAGAAGGGACATGTGGGAGGGAGAAGATGCTGCAGTGAGCACCAGGGGCTCCCACAGTGTGGGCATCACTGTGTCATCCAAAACTGGGCACACGTCCTGTCACCTCTGACCCAGGCAGGAGAGGCTCAGTTTTGTCAAGAGGCCATGGGAGATTTTAACAGAAGCCTCTTTTCCATCCCACTTTCTCCTTGGAGGCATCTTCCCTGTCCCTCACTGCAGTTTGTGCCAGACTGACAGCATCTTCCATGGCAGGGAATGATATCTTAGTTGGGAGTCCCCTTGTTTAGTCTTACAGCTGTCAATTAATCCCACATTTTTGCTATTCAGACTAGCTGTGGGTAGCAACATTTCCTGCTGCAGTGAAAATTTGTTGTGAATAAGAGCTGGAAGGGGAACTGCATTAATATTTGACAGCAGTTAGTGCTGAGGGAGGCTTTGCACTTCACAACCTGAGACCCAGAGGGGTTTCTCAAAGCAGCAGTAGTTTAACAGCATTTAAACAAGCTTTTGCCACATGCAGCCCAGCTGGGGACTGCTGCTGGCCAGGCATGCTTGTGCTATCCCCAGCTCAGCTGAGCTTCCCATCTTGGGCTTGTCCTTCTAAGTGGAGGTTTTGGGGCTTTGGGAGAATAAAGGCAGCTGATTACAGAATCATTGGATCACAGAGTGGTTTGTGTGGGAAGGGATCTTAAAGATATCTCAATCCCTCCTCTGCCATGGCAGGGACACCTTCCCCTACCCCAGGGTGCTCCAAGCCCTGTCCAGCCTGGCCTTGGGCACTTCCAAGATCCAGAGAAAGCCACAGCTGCTCTGGGCATCCTCCTCACTCTGACAGGGAAGAATTTCCTCCCTAATACCCACCCTAACCCCACCCTCTGTCAGTGTAAAGCCATGACTCCTTGTCTGTCCCTCCATTCCTTGTCCCCAGTCCYKCYCCAGCTCTCTTAGAGCCCCTTTAGGCACTGGAAGGGGCTCTAAGGTCTCCCCTTCACCTTCTCCTCTCCATGTTGACCAACCCCAGTTCTCCCAGCCTGGTTCCAGTGTTTCTCCAGCCCCTAGATCATGTTCGTGGCCTTTCTGCACTGATTCCAATGGGTTCATGTCTTTCTTCTGTTGGGGACCCCAGTGAAGAAGAAGCACTGCCCAGCTTTGGGTGGCCCAGC